AGTATTGTATATGACAACTTATTTGAAAACATGCAGAAAAAGTGAGATATTCTGATATCTCACTAAGCCAGAATTCTTCAAAATGAGCAAGTATAGCAAGAGAGCCAAAATAAACCATGGAAACCTCTGTGATTTGTATAGTGTGATATTTAAAGCAGGACCTCTGGCTTTTTCCCATCACAACAACCCAGAAAAGAAAGCCAGGAACAAATCTTCTATTCTAACTTTGGCTTTTTAAGGCATTCTTCTTTACACATTATGCAAAATAACATAAGAGTAGCTTTTCATGGAAGCAATACAAAAAGAGCTCTGCCAAATCAGATCAAAAAGCAATAGGTTTATCTAGCCTTTTTGCCCTCAATGTTCTTCAACTGAAGAACAGATTGAAACTTAGTAGGATCAGATTCAGGAAACAACTAATGATCTCCAGTAGGCAACCTAGTTGCTCACCTTTGCACTCATGGTGTCTGTACCCATCCCAACTGCTTCCTTTACAACTATTTCACTCTTTGGGGTGTCTGTGTGTTTGTGTGTGTACTGCTGTGCTTTGAGAATGAAGCTAGAGGGTAAGGATCCAATGGGCTAGCCTAACCGGAAAAGTCTAAGGAGCTCAGGTAGTTCTAGTTGTTGCATTATTTAGGTAATACTTCTGTTAAAGAGCCGTTGTCTGGTCTTTAATGTCATATTGTAGCCAACTAGAAGCTTACAAACAGGATACAATAGGAATAACTTTATTCTCTTTCTGCTCTCCTATAGTTGCTTTTTAAGATGTGCTTCTTGTGACAAAATCGCAATACATAATGTAGCAGCATAACTTCTGAAAACAACAGATCTGTATCCACAATTGTCACATCACCATGTCTCCACTCATCCTCTAAACCTTGCTCTGTTAGAATTTTGAAACATAAAATCTGGAGTCAATAGCAGCAATCTATAGTGATGCCATAATAAAGTAACGATAATATTCATTATCATACAGTAAATGTATTTTAATGATTCTCTAAAATATGTCCTTGTCAAACATCAATCTAAGTTAAAGGAGCTGTTTTGAGCACATAATTACCGATTTAACATATTTAATGGTTTTTGAAAGTCCCAACTACTGAACAAAAAATAAAATTGATAGCAATGATTAAAGAAGACATGCTGTGAAATTGAGGTGAAGTTCAAGGTCAGGAAATTTAAATTATATACACACACATATTTAGCCATGTCATTTCTAAAGCATAGCAACAAAAAAGGGAACACTAAAAATAATGTTTTCAGTGTCACCAATATATCTGGTTCTAGGCAAATCATGTCCTTGAGTCACAAAATTAGTGATGTGCACTGCCCATTCACAAAATCTGGGTTTCTATTGTACATCAAAGAGTTTCAGCCATGGAGGTTAATTTAATGAGATATCCTTTAAATAGGTGATGTCCTCATTAGACCAGCATTACAGCTATATTCCAAAAAATAGGTCAGTCACAGTAGGTAGAATTTTACAATTTATTGCACTTAATTGAGTTGATGAAAATGTCTAGCAAATTTCATTTGCAATTTCTGATTATGTCAAAATAAATATAAGAAAAGGAAGCAATGCAATGTTATTGTTTTGCCAAGTTACAAATTGTTTTCAGAAAATTCTTAAAATAAGGTAGATTTATTCCAGAGTTTGATTCCTTGATGCTTTGGGATTGCTTCAAAATATACTCTTCAAGGACTCTTTCAAGGAGGCACAAAAAGAAAACAAAATGGCCAGCAGAGTCACTAACATAATCTAAATCAGGGGTCCCCAACCCTCGGTCCGTGGACTGGTACCGGGCCGTGGCATGCCAGCAACCGGGCTGCACAAACAAGCAAAGCCCCATCCATGGAATGAAGGCAGAACACAAAACCACATCCACTCCAGTCCACGGAAAAACTTCTTGTCATGTAACCAGTCCCTGGTGCCCAAAAGGTTGGAGATCTCTAATCTAAATAATCCAGACTGCAGTTGTTTTCAGAACAGGGCTATAGTTCAGATGATGTAACATGTGTTTTGCCTGCAAAAATTCCAGATTCAAATCCAGATACATCAACTCTAATTGAGGTATGATTCAGTATAAGAAGCTTCTCATATCTCCAGGTTTCACTCTAGTTTTAAGTAATAGTGTACTAGTGAAGTAACTGAGAAAGGACTTAGATAAAGCTATAGAGCTATAGAGTTGTGAATATAGCCTTGCTTGGAACAAAATTTCATTTCCTTTGAGATGACATGTGTTTCTTGAATCACAATAGGTAAATAATATTAATCAGGCTGAATTATCATCAACCAATCTGTAATGGGAGGTGCTTAATTATTGTCTTTAATTTAACAAGACAGCATCCATCTGTGCATGCAAAAGTACAGATGGTAGGTATGGGACAAAAAACATAAGCTGCAACCCTATCAAGGACTTGTGCAAGGTAATAGCTGTAAAAAATTAGACTTGCTGCTTTACAATACTATGCTGGGCATAATATTATAAACACAAAATTGTATTGTTTGCTTAATGGTGGATCAAATTAATGATGGCCTTGGAAATGCCTGTAAAGGATTTCCATTTGTCGCAAAATGTTGCACATGCACACATGGTCACGTGATGTGATCTGTATGCTTGGCAACCTAATCACACCTAGCCCCCTGCTGATCACACCAAGCCCCCACCCCCCACATTCATGTGATTGCCATTCACAATCTTCTTTGCCAGCTCCCCTAAAAAGTCTGTGGAGAAGTCAACAGGGAAGGTTGCAAGCTGCTGCACTCTTTTCATCTCTGGGGACTGACTGAAAGAGCTCCCTGCCAAGCAAGCAGACCGAAAACTGAAATTCTTTTTCAAGGAGCTGCCTGCTGTAGAATTTCAAATCTGTACCAGCTTGCATGGAGCTGAAATCCTTTGTGCCTGCTTGCACAGAGCTGAAATCCTATCAGGTCTCCCAGGTGAATCAGACAGGATACATCTCTATATGAGCAAAATCTACTTCATCATAAGGCTACATTAACAGACTCACGCAAGTCTGAAAGTACAAAACTTCCTACCGCCCCTTTTAACCACTTGATCCATCAAGACAGGCCCTTTCTCACTTTCTTTATCTGACCATTAAGCCACTAGGGGGGGGAGGGTTGTGCCTCTGTTGTCTGATTGTTTCCAAGGCAGCATCTCTCCCTCTCTTTCCCAAAGGTATTTTCCACATTCCATTACACTGCCAAAGGATTTCAGTCTCATGCCTGCTTGCACAAACTGAATTCGTTTAGCAGGAAGTTGAAAATTCTGCTTGCATTTTGCAATGGAGTATTTTCAGCTCCTGAGTGGAGAGGCAGTAAGGAACACAGGTATCTCAGGGATGTAGGGAGGCCCAGTACAGGGCGCACATGAATTTCTTTCTGCTGAAGAGCTGAAACTCCTGCTTGGATTTTGGCAAGGAAGATTTTCAGGCCCTGAGCAGAAAGACAGTAACACTAGCAGGCTACCTGGCCTCCCGGGGTGTCCTCCCCTACCCAAGGGACCCCACACCCTTTATCTAGGACTCTGACTGGCAAAATTGCTTAGTGACTACAACTAGGAATGCCAAGATTGCTATCGTTGAGCAAAATCATCACGTGATGTCTTGCTTAACAACCACTTTGCCTAATGACAGATATTCCAGTTCAAATTTTGGTCATAATCAAGGACTGCCTGTAATTGAATGCCAGTGCCAAGGTTTAATTTTGAATGCTGGGAAAATATAGCTTGCTTTCCAAGGACAAGCAAGAGGAAGATGGGAGGGAAGAGATTCATTTTGATTCCCTGCAGTTAGGAAGTAGTAAACATTTGTTTCTAAAATGATTATTTGGAAAGGTCCTCTGTTTCCCTTCAGAAAATGCTGAATATGAATCACTTGCACAGAGGTGTGATTTTTTTTTTCTGAGTAACTATCAGATCTGCATAGATACTGATTATTGATAAAGTGTTCACTTGATAGCAGCTCTTCATCCCTGAGGACTGAAATTTAAGTACTTCCAGATAAATGAAGCTTCTTGTCATGTGTGCAGGATTTAGAGAGCCATCACATCTTCAGTCACCAGTTTATGAGTAGCTCAGATGTTTCATGCTGAAAATGAAACTGTGGTGCAGCTGTGGCAAAAAGGGGGAGGTTTGGTTTCCATCTTCTCTTGTCTGTGCTGTAAATAACAGCATTTCTTTGGAGTTTTTTTAAATGTATTTGTTACATTGATGTGTACTAACCTCTTCCCAATGTCTGTTCTTTCCTATCAAGAACCATGCAACCTGAATTAAATTGTACTTTGTATTTCAGCTGCAGATGTTATTATTGGTGTGTCAAAGAAAGCAGAAGCAGAGCTAACCTAGAATTATAGAAGTAGTTGCTTTGGTGGCACATTTAGGAATGCAAGCCAGTCTCCTTTGTGACTTTGGATCTTTTTAGTGCAGCTTTCTAGAGAGACAGAATTTTTTTTTAAAAAAAACCTTCTAAATTATAGATTTAGACAATTGTTATATTGTCTGATATGTTTCTGTTCATTCTGTTATCCAGGAGTAAAATCTTATTGGATGTAGCAAAAGCAGTCTGAACAACTATTGCATAGTTGTTTACCATAGAATAAGATTCTCCTAATCTGTTGTTCTTCTGGTCTGGATTACAATTCACATAACCTTCCAATGTTTGTCCAGCTGGGAATTAGGGAAGGCAGCAACTAAGCTTTATTGTGTAGCTTTACCTGCCAATCTATCTTTCTTTCTGTCTCTGTCTTCACCTTTAGTTTATGAGGTGGGGGTTCAGTTCTCTTCCTTTCTTTTTAAAAATTTAATTACATATATTGGAATAATCTTATGCAATAGAACTTGGGCTCTTTCTTATTAGGCAAGGGTATTGAAGCTCAAGAGCACTTATTTGTCCTTTTCTTGCTCATTTTTTCCACATTGCACTTTCAGATGCTGCACAAGATTGCTATTTTCTCTGTACCAATGGTCTCATGGATGCCTTTTCTGTCTGCTTAGGGGTCTATGGAAGATGAGCACAATATCAGCAAAGCCACATCCATCATTGAAAGTCAGCATCACCACCTGCTGCATTGCCTGGAAAAAACAACTGTAAGTAGGAACAGGGTGTGCTTTTGAGTCTGTTTTCACTCAAGCCCATACAGTTAAAAAAAAACAGAAAAGGGGGGTATATATTAAATTTAGCCTGCCAGTATTGAGTCAATATTGAGCCTTGATAAGCCTAATTTTTATTGGAGTTCCATATTCTCCTCCCTCCCTGTTGTGGTTGTTATTACATTATGTTATTACATTATTTTGCAAATATGCAAAATTGTTATCAAATATACGTGTTAACTACAACTAAGAAAAAAAGAATCAGAAAAGGAAATATGTGCATAAGGCCTGAAATAAAAGTATGAAACCCGAACTGGCTACTCATTGGCTACTCAATAGTCATACTACATTATTTAGAATAAGGGTGAATAATGGATGGCCCTCTACATGTTGTATTACATGTTTCCTCATTTTTCACCATTGATTATGGTGGGTAGGGCTGTTAAGATTTGGAAGTACTGTAAAGAACATCTGGAAGACCATCTCTATGGATCCATGATTGATGTACATATGAAAGCAATCTGCTCTATACCAAAACACATTACTCTCTTGCTTACCTGGACTTTGATCATTTGGCCAAATGAGTCAGTATATATGTGTACATGGAATATGCCCCTAAGTGCATATTGAAGACTCCTAGTTGCTCTATGCAATTGCCTCCTAATGATTACTGTTACATTAGTATCCATATCTTTATTGTATATTTTATTTTATTTATTGTTTTACCTTCTATATCAAATTATAATATTTTCAGTCTTACCCTGCCTGCATTGCTTTTTATACAAAGCAATAGATCTTCCTAAATATATGAATTATACATGAGGAAAGTCCTACTGAAGGCCACTTGTGGAAAGAGAATGGAAAGCCTTGGAGAAATTGTTGTCATCCTTGCAGAAACAAATAGAAAACTTTCACATCGAGAGCACAGAACAAGAGAATTCTGACGAATAATGTATTACATAAGCATGTTCTACTATATGCAATAAATGTTGCAGACATGTCTTGAATACTGTCTCCACAATGAAAGCTAACAGAAAAATTCAGAAGACATGTGTTCACTTGAGTTAGGTGAATATGTACAGCTAGCAAGTATAGTTGTCTATTGTATTCTTCTTCTAGACAATTTGAAAGTAACAAAAGAAAGAAAGTGTGTGTCCCTAAAACTGCTACAGCTATATCTATGTATATTTAATTTATTGCACCATGTAATTATTTTATAATTTACGAAAGATACATCCATAGTAAGGGAGCCTGTCCTTAAATTTATGTTACACACAAAAGTATTTTTGCATTTTCAAACCTACAAATTTGTGTTAAATAGCAGTTACTAAAATCTGCATCCTGATTCTGATTGAACCATAACAAAGGACTCCACTCTGGCAAAGATAAGAATGTAATTATTTTTTTTGAACACAGAGTTATGGACATGGTTTATCCTGTCCCTAAAATATTCCAAACAAAACCTACAAATTATTTTTCAAGGTTATTAGTATATCTCAATCCATGGTGGTGGTGCTGGTGGTGGTGGTGGTGGTGCTGGTGGTGGTGGTGGTGATGATGATGATGATGATGATGATGATGATGATGATGATGATGATGTGTTGTCTTGCAGGATTTAGAAAAGTATGTGAGAAAATAGATTGTTCATTACATGAATTGCTTATAAATAATAGCTTATTAATTTGGGGTTTTCCAAAATATATGAAATGCATATTTATGTTTTAACTTAAATTATTTATAACATAAATAAAAGGGGAGCCACAACAACACCTGAGTTCAAAGTTTTTCTTAGCCATAAATGTGACTAGGTGATTTTAGTTAAATCAGGGGTCTTCAAACTTGGCCCTTTTATGACTTGTGGACTTCAACTCCCAGAATTCCTCAGCCAGGCATGCTGGCTGAGGAATTCTGAGACTTGAAGTCCACAAGTCATAAAAGGGCCACGTTTGAAGACCCCTGAGTTAAATCATACTGCTGTTGTGAACATTAAATGGTATATCTTCATATATGCTATCCAAAAGGCTATGGTTGAAAAATGGAATACACACATACACACATAATGTAATCCCATTCCAGGATTACAGAATAAACAGGGGAAGAGTAACTAAACTTTATGAATACTGAGTTCTAAAGCTTTGGAGACTGGCTGTTTAAAGAAATAATTAATGACCCAATATACAATCTGAATGAATAAGAATAAATTATTCACCATTCAGCTGAAATCTGTATCTACCAGAAATAGTAATGAAAATACCTGCAGTGCTACATCAGCATGGGGTTGGATTCAGGTGAGGCTCACTGCAATCTCAATCAGTAATAAATAGCTGTTAAGTTATTGGAAAGGGTGTGTTGCTCTTGACCTAACCATATATCATTTTGAACAGAGAGGTTGTCATTCAAGGACTGACATATGGCATGTTCAGTGTGTTTTTCAGTGCTTTCATCAAAATAGTTCATTCAGCATTTGTGCTGAACATGCATGCCTTTCCATCATACTGAACTGATTAAAAAAAATCACACTTAACACATTGTCTCATTGTAGATTATGAATTCTAGAGCCACCAAAGAGTTATATTTCAGTGTCCCACAATTGCTAGTGGAATGAAGAATGACCTGTACATAAGCATTGCTAACAGGTTTCAAGGGGCAATTCACCTTTCCTTAAATAGAAAGAATGCTTTTGGTATTGTCTATTTTGTTGAAGTTTTGTGTTAAAACATCTGAGATGTGATGAATCATCTCTAAATTCAGCTAATTAAGTAAAACAATGTTGGGAAGGATTTGCTATCAATTTAAAAATTAGCAAATAAATAATGTACTGAAATGTTCAACCTTTTTCTATATGAATATGCAGCTTGTATTCTCTCAGTGGAAAAGCAATATGGACCAAAATCACAATTTCAATTGTTCCATTCAGTAATCACACTAGAACTTTTATTTTATAATTGATCTTTTCCCAGCTTTCCCATCTCTGAATCCCTTTTCCACACACATTCCCACTGTTAATCTACAGCAGCGTTTCTTAACCTTGGCAATTTTAAAATGTGTGGACTTCAACCACCAGAATTTCCCAGGCAGCACATAAAACCACGCAGTCTATGGAAAAACCTTTCTCCATGGAACTGGTCCCTGGTTGGGGACCTTTGCTGTAGAGTGAATAGAGTCAGAACAAAACATCATAATGGTGATGCTCTTTCTCTTATCAAAGCCATAGTTAGTTTCAGCTAAGAGACACTAGTGAATAGGACAGGGTGAACTATTCAAAAGGAGCACTTTATAAAACACCCTCTCTTGAAACCTGAAAGCAACCTTGTTCTCCAGAAAGCTTCTAAGACTTGCTCCATTTGCCTGCATTATATGTACATGCATACAGCCATTTCCCTTTATGGAAGTGTTTTCTATGCATCTACACACACACAGTAGCTGAGACGGGAGAGGGATGTATTGGTCAAGTTATTGCTCTGTTATGTACCCCATTCAAAGACTTTATGCAGTCTTAATTCTTTGTTCTGTTCTCCAAAAACAGGATTGCAGACTTACCACTTTATTCAGAAAGATTATTTATTATTTATTTTAGATTTATTCTGGAAGAGTTTGTAATATTGGAATAGCTTCTAAGGAAGGGGAAAGCCTTGCTTCAGGACTAAAAAGACTTTACAGTAGGACACAAAATAGCTTTGCAATTGGAAATAGAATATATATACTTCATGTAATAGAGGAAGAAGCAGAATCCCTAATGTATTAATTATCTTTCCCCAGGGATAAATTTTTGCACTTGACCCAATTGCATGGTTTTCTATTTACAGCTGCTTACAGCTATTTACAGCTGCTAAAGAATTGTTATAATGTTGTTTTCTTCTCTGTGAGAAGATGCCCAACTCTTTAAGAGCAGCTGGGGCTCTACTTGCTCCAGTAGAATTACTGGGAATTACTCAGGAAAAAATTCAGGGAATTACTTGTATCTATAACTTTCAGTTAAATGTCCAATGCTGCATGTACACCTTAAGATCACAAAGGTGACAAGAATGGGCATTTTAAGGCAGAATACAGAAGAGTTTAAGGGGCTTTCCTTAATCTTGGTTCTGGGTGTTTGAATTACTATTACTAAGATTTATCCCATTAGAGCCATTTATTATTGTTGCTGATGTTGCTTCTCAAAGAAAATGGTTTAAGACTATTCTGGAACATGCTTAGTTCCTGGAGAAGTTGAGAAGAACTGGAAATCAGAAAGAGAACTGGAGTTGAGGAAAGATCATCCCTGCAGGTGCCCTGGAGAAAAAGCATAATACTTTCAGAGCAACTGAGGAGACCCAAGGAGAGAATCATGGTGGATGGGCAATGATCCTGGTAATGCTGACTTAGAAAGAGGACTGACACAACAAAGAAAGTTCCAGTTTGTGAAAGAAACAATTAACTAAGCAAGTCAAAGATTAGCAATAAAATTCTTAAGTTATCAGTTTCCATTATCCCTTTATTTTCTGTATAGCCTGAACCAGCATGCAGGCCAAAGGGGTGGAAATGTGGGGGTGGGGAAAGGAAGGGGAAAGTAACATGTTAAAGAAAGTTTGAAAAAAAAAATCACAATCCAACTTAAAGCCTTTCTACTCCAAATAAAAGAGAGAAGAAAATTGGTTAGAAAAGTAACCAAAACTTTTTCTTGTTACAGGAGAAAAAAGTCAAGGGAGGAGAAAGTTAATTTGAACTTTTAATTTTACCATATAAATGTTTGGGAATCATATTACAAATTTTATGTCTTCAGCTGCGCTTTAGAAACACATTTAATAAAAGCACTATGTAATAATTCATAACTATTGCTCAGATAAAGAACAAGGGTTATACTATAATAGTAAATAAAAGTAGGTTTTGTCAAAAGTTTGTTTGTGCTTATTGCCTGGGAATATAACACTACAGTATCTTGAAGAATAATTTCCACACAATTCTCCTCATCCCAATCTTCTCCTTGCCTAATGTTTTGCTGTTAAAAGCCTCTAATTATAAATGGGAATGCATGGGTTGATTATAATTAAATCATAACATTACTTGCACTGAAATTTTCCTTGAATAAGGCAGAGCAAGTGCACTGTGCAATCTAGGACTGGATTTTTATCAGTCAGCTGTCTGGTTCATGTTGCTTAGGCATTTCCATTTGAGAGAACCTCCATTAGTGGATTATACAGTAATTTACTTTTTTTCCTGGCTACTTGGGAGACTTCTCTTACCAGTGAGATGACAGTTCAATCTAAAATAAGCTGGAGGAAAGGCCTCATTGCCCATTCAAACGTGTGAGATGCTAGGCAGAATGCTGGGATTGGATTTTGGAATGCTGGAATGGACAATCAATGGTGTTTTTATCTTTTGTTGACATGTTGTCCTGTAGGGATTGTCCTATCTTGTGGATGATCCCCTGTTATCTGTACGAACTTCCACCTTCAAGGTATTTCTTTCTTAATTCAATCTGTTTACTGCCATCTCTGTGCCATGTCTCAAGTGTTGCTTCCTTCCTTGTGATAATCCTGTTTTTTAGTAGATGATGCATGTTGGAGCTTTTTTATTATCTGGTGGCTTTGAGCACTGTTAAGAATATTGAATGAGGGACAGTAATTGCTTTATCTATTTTTAAAAGCTCAAATATGCTTTCAAATATGCTGTTTAATTATTTGATGTGGATGTGGCAGCCTTGAATATGCTAAGATGTTTGTTTTTCCTTTTAACTCTTATCATAAGTAAAGATCCCATTCATTTTTCACCTATTTGCTGAATACCTATATTATGCATTCCTGATCTGCCTATCATTATTTTTTTTAGATTGCAAACTATAACAATTCTAGTCCAAGATTTCTACTTTCATGTTCTGGATTTATATAAAACATAGTTGAGAATTGTTGTGGCCTGTTGTAAAATTTATGGTAAGTCAGTAGAGCTCAGTGTATGAGGACATTTCATTTTAGGATGAAGTCACAGGCAAGAAACTTACAGCATGTAAAAAAAAAAGACAGCTACACAATTTATTTGATTGTTGGGAGCTGCCCAGAGTCATTGAAGGTTGGGCAGCCTAGATGTTTTATTATAATGATCAGCCAGAAGTTTAAACTGGATTTTAGCATTTTTGTTCAACTATTAAGTCCCTGATGATGATGATGATGATGATGATGATGATGATGATGATGACGACAACGATGAAGATGAGGATGGTCTCCAGAATGCTATATTAAAGCTTTTCACTCATTGCATCCCAGCAGAAAATATTTTTCTGTGATAGTTCTACACTATTCAACTAAAATGACTTCATTAACCATTATAAGTGATTGCTCCATTGCAAAATATTATCTTTCTCCTAAGATATATTATCTAAGAAATGATAAAATATTACCTTATTTCCACTCATTTGCCATGTTAATCACAACTATGCATTGTTTAGCACCTGTCTCTGATTCATAGTTCTGAAGCAGGGATACCACACTGCTATTACATCCAAATACTTACATTACAATAACTGGTGATGGAATTATATAATCCCTTGCTAGAACATATTGTGTTGCAGCAATTCAAGTGTGAAGTAACTGCATAAAAAAAGAAGCAGCCATAGATTCCTTATGTCTGACTTGTGTTTCTTTACATACATCTCATGTAAAGGCAAAATATAGAGGTATATCCCAGCTAAAAATGCATGTATCCTGTATATTTCTATAGTTTATCCATCCCTCCATACAGAAGATACAAGTAGTCCTCAACTTATAACCAATCATTTAGTTACAACAAGCCCCCAAAAAGCTATTTATGACCTGGGTTCAAAATTTCTCCCCCTTCCCATTGTCATATGATCATATTTTGGATTCTCCCACTCCCCCAAAAAATGAAGGAGCAAAGGAAAAATGTATTTTTAAAAACATCCTTATATACAAATATATTGCTCTACTCTTAGGATGAAAAAAAGAGTTTCAAATTTCCCATAGAAAGGTTTCTAACCCTTTAAGACAGGGGTGTCAAATTCGCAACATCACGTGACGTGTCGCCACGTATCGCAACTTTTTCCCCATTGCCGAAGCTGGGATAGGTGCAGTTTCAGCATGACGCATCCAGTTCGCGGGCCGGCAGTTTGACAGCCCTGCTTTAAGAGGTGATATCATGTGTTGTGTTCAGAGGGGATAGACTTGGAAAGGGGGTCAAACAAGCTACAAATTGCAGCAGTTATTTTCACTACTTGGAAAATGTGGTTGCACTAGCTGATCCCTGAATTCTGTTCTTTCCTTCATTTATAACTTTAGGGGAGAGGATTGAGGTTAATATAAAGAGGTATTCATTAGTCTTCTAGACAGACTGACCGACAAGTGTCTAACTACTAGAAAGGCATTAGCACTGGGTCAACTACATGACATGCCCCCATTACCCTAATATATCATTATCTTGATATCTTTCAAACTACCTGCCCTATCATGATAGCTATAAATTGACAGGTCACCAGAGAATCAAAGCACCCATAGGAAGCTGACAACATTTTAGATTAGCCCTCAGATGAAGACATCTGAATTATTTTAAATGAAAACTGAAAGCTGGTTTATTACTTTGGCATTCTTGTAAACAAATAATGTCAAAAACAAACAATTATTTATGTGTTCTGTGCTACCAGCAACCACTTGTTAATATGTAAAATTTCATTCCAAAGTTTTATTCACATTTATCCAATGGTCTGTTTCTGAATGTTCAAATAGGCAGCAATTATATATAGCTAAAAGGCTACCCTCATTTTAATAGGTCACCCACCAAAGTTAAATGCTTTTCATTTCAAACTTAGTGAACAAGAATTCCCTTGAAGAATACCTTCTGAAGTTAACTCTCAAAACATGAACTGAAATTATTTCCATGAGTATTTATAGAACATGTTCTTGGGTATGCCCCTATTTATAGACTACTTAGATTTTTCTCAGAGACTTGGGATGCATAATGCTGTTCCATTCAAAAGATGGTCAAAAGCACAGATTGATAATCAGCTGTTTTTATTGTAATATACAATTAGTATTTTTAATTACCCCAATAGCTATCAGTACCTAGCTATTAAAAGACAGCTTAAATAATGAACTTTATTTTTTGTTTCAAATAATGACAATCTTCTATAGTGTAGTTATATCTTACAAGTATTCTGGACTGTATATGTGAGCACTATTTTCCATGGAAAGACAACTTGCTGCAGTCATAAAAAAAATAGTGTAGGCCTACAGAAGACATATAAGGGTACAAAATTGAATTGGCCCAATGAAGTTTAAATTCAAATATTGAATGAGATTATTTGATTGCTATCAAAAATCAAAGTTACTTCTCAAGTCAAAATCAAAAACTCAGTCAAACATCACATTGAACTGAGTGCTTTAATTGATAAAAACTGTCAAACTGAATTAAATCATCTTAGCTCCCTGAACTGATATTGGCATTCAGGCTGGTCAACTCAGTAATCTTAATTGAATAAACTATGTGAATTACATCTGTCAAAAAACAACCCACACTAACTTAATGTTCCATTACCAAAGTAACAATTCAAACTCCCACAGTTGCAGTTGTGTAACAGCATTATTTAGACAAGTATAAACACATTGCAGCAACCCAGGATACCAGAAAAAAGAAACTGACTGTTCAGTTTCCCATACAACTTTATCAAAAAGTGCATGACCACTCAACCTACTGCAACACAACAACCAGCACATTATGAAAAGAGTAACATTACCATACATAAAAAACATCTCAGAAACAGCCAGCAGACTTATAACCACATGGCATCACTATAGCACACAAACCAATCAGAGCCCTCCAAAACATTTTAAGTCAACCAAGACCCCGTAGCCCAAGAAGAAAAAACAGGAGTCAATGCACACTATAAGAACTATTATAAATACTATATAAGACAGACAGGCAGAAGAGCTATGAATACCGATTAGCACTCAGAAAACAGAATGAAACCTCCTTAATTGTAGAACACATGGACAGATTCAACATAGTTTCAACTAGTAAACTGTGAGCATCCTGGACCAAGCTATATCCAAAAACACTACAGAATTTCTGGAAGCTTTGCATTTAGACAAATCAGCCATTAATCAACACAGAGAGATAAACCAAATTTACACACTGTTCAAAAAAGACAGTACAACGCTAAGAAGGAAACAAAAAGACAAGAACTAGTCCCCTCCAGCAACCAACATCCAGGTAAAATCAGACAAAAATCAAGCAAAAACAATACTCTAATCAAGAAACTACCATGGGGAAAAAACAACCACCCTGATCAGACTGGCAGGATAAGGAACTGTATATATGAGCTGAGGTGGTGCAGTGGTTAGAATGCAGTACTGCAGGCTACTTCTGCTGACTGCTGGCTGCCTGCAATTTGGCAGTTCGATTCTCACTGGCTCAGTTGACTCAGCCTTCCATCCTTCCGAGGTCAGTAAAATGAGGACCCAGATTGTTGGGGACAATATGCCGACTCTGTAAACTGCTTAGAGAGGGTGGTAAAGCACTGTGAAGTGGTATATAAGTCTAAGTGCTATTGCTATAAACAGGGAGCAAACCCCACATTCACTAGCACCTGGTCAGGTAATGAAAGGTCTGCAAGCAACCAAACTTAGAGAACACCAAGGACACCACAGTTAAACTATATCAATTATATTGGAGTTGATTTATAAAAGTTCAGAAAAATGGCAACAGCATATAGCATCCACATGTTTGAATCTTGGATTTTCTTTAAAAAATACTCAAATATATGGAAACAAATATACAATATCAGGTTAGAATACTTAAATTTATTTATTTCCTAAATATTAGGAAATATTTATTTACTGAATCACACCAATCAATTATGTGAATTCTTCCACATTCAACTGTCAGGATATTTCCTCCTGATATTCAACAACAAAGCAAATGTTCAGTATGGAATTGGATATAACTGAAATATATTACCCTAAGCAAATTATTTTTCAACATGACAGCCAGATGCATTTTAAAGAAAGGAAAGGCTGTCCTGATGGAGAATACATAGAAATGTTTGAAAATCTAACTCTTGAACTATAGTCAGTTTTTGATTTTTGAAAAAAAAGGACTATATTAGGAAATTACTAATATTTGTTGATGCTCTCTCTGACAGAACCATGAGTTCATTGATGAGCAGATGTTTGAGCAAAACTGCTTGGAGAGTTCATTGCAGAATTACCCATCAACCCGAAGCCCTTCCCTTTCAAGTCACCAGGGCTTGACTACCTCCTGCTGTTCTCGACGTAGTAAGAAGACAACGCACCTCCCCAATTCCAGTGTGCCAGCAACCCGATTACGGAGCATGCAGGAGCTCAGCACTATACATATCCAGTGCAGTGAACAACCCTCACTCACAACAAGGTACAGTGGAGAAGAGAGTGGGTACATTGATGTAAGAGGACTAGCACATAGGCATCCAGCCCAAACAGGGAGAAGTGGTTTTAGGTACTATGCCGAGTTTGCATTCAAGATAATTTTCCAGGAGAGTCAAGATTTAGAGCTAAACCGATATTTTGAAAGTATTTGGAGAGTTCTAAAATTTAAATCTTCATGAAAAGGACATAGTTCTCGCCTCTGCCCTACATAAACAAGTTCAGTTGCTCTTAAGTATTCTTAGTCTAATTGTGTATGTCATATTACAGAACCTGGCAATCTTATATGTTATTTCAGAGTTAAATAAGAACAGGTGATCATTGTATCCATTTTACTAATCAGGAATGGGCAATTAGGGCATTTCAGGATGCTATGTAAAACTGGCAGTACAAAAGAACATGTTTCTACTTGTCCTGAATCACAAGGCCATACTTGTAATGGTATGGTATCTTTTTGTATCTTCCAACTAAGAGTGCTGAAGGTAGGGCATTACATTAGGCTAAAGTAAAGACCCTTCTCTGATTGGGAATATTAAGGTTTGGGTGTTGTTAAAGTGTGGTTCTTGCCTGCTCATAGCTCAGAGATAATAGATACATGGGGAGAATCCTAAAAGTCAGACTTCAAACATATCCAAAGTTCACAGAGTTCTGTTCTTACCTTCTGTTCCTTTAAAACTAAAAGAAAATGTCTTTTTATCTTATAGTCGCTCCAGCCTAAATATGAAATCAGATGATGGTCTGAGACCAAACTGCAAAGCTGCTCAAATAACCACAGCAATCATCAGCATCCCAACACCACCGGCACTGACACCCGAAGGTGAAAACAGGCCTTCCTCCTCAAGCCCCAGCCATTCAATGAACACAATCATGGCTAGCAGCAACATTGTCAAGGTTTCAGCTTTGTAAGACTGACTTAGTCAAACATGATGGCATTAGATTGGAAGGCCAGTCTTTTCCCCTTTCTCCCAACTTCCATGTTCCTTCTTTGCTGCAAATTGTGCCTAGATGAATGGCTGGATGGACAGTGGACCAACCTGACCAACATCTAAGAACCGAGGATGAGAGCTGAAGGAGGCAGCTTCCTTCAAACTCACATTCATGCTGCAGAGCGAGCTCAGAAGAATCAGGAAGCTATGTTTGTATGTATGGGTGTATGCATGTGTGCGTGGGTGTAAGAACAGAGTGGCCAAAGGATCTCTCTTTGACAAGTTGAAGCCTTGTTCTAAGACATGAGGCGTAGAATAGTTTTTGGATAGTGATATATAAGTCCTGTCATAACTACAAGAAGGTCAGTAAAGAAGTAGAATTATAACACTGTGTATCTCAGCACCTTTTTAAAGGTTTTTAATGGATAATATTTATTCATGAAGAAATGACTGAAAAAGGTGACCAAAATGGATTTTGTGATTTTTTTTTCTGTCTTCATGCAGCAGGATCTTTTATTTATCAAAATAACTTCTTTATTTTCTTTTATACCCAAACATTTAAAAAAAACAATTCACCTTGTCACAGGAATTTAATTTTCATTCTTTTGTGCACATGTGCATGCGTGTGTAAGAACGAATAAGAGAACCACAAAACTGGCATTTTCCAACTATGAAAGATCTGAGCACACATTCCTATTTCTGGGCTCAATCCTGCAAAGACTTACTGTTTGCATGGTCAACAACATGCTTTAAGTAATGCTTGTGAATCCAATGGTTTTACCTACTGTCCATCCCTTTCTGCATGAGTGTGTCTTTGCAGGCTTCAGCCTTTAGTGCACAGTAGCAAAACAGATGCCTGCATGCAGTCACACACACACACAAGCACCAATGAAACATTCATTTTAGATGGTACTTTTTCTTAACACAATTCTGTAATTGCCTTTAATTCAACAAAAATTGCAGTTGCAAACAGTGTATTTGTCTGCTAATTATTGTCTGTGAAAAAAATCATATTTGTGGAACAAAAGAACAGGCTTTCGTAGTTCACCACAGTTCTTTGCTTTTCAAAATATTATTTTGGTTATCATGGACTGGTAGAGAATGTGATTAGATTAACTAGTTCTGTATTTTTAAAGTCCAGGAAATGGCCTAGAGGAAATTTAATTTTTTTTAAAAAAATTATTCAAGCAGTTTCAGAGGGCAAAATCATTTGAAGCAGCTGCTGCAGATGTTCATAACTGAAATGTAATCTATACCCATGCTTTCTTTTATGTTTTATATGTGTTTATTTAATAGTAATGGAAGTGTCTCCCATTGTATATAATAGTCAGTGGATGTGTCCTTTGTTAGGACTATTTTAAGAGCCAAAAGTTTTACATGGACTGAAAGTGAATCTCATTTTGTAATACAGTCCAGTGGCTCTTAGTGAAACTCTCTGGGTTGCGTTGGCTTAATGGATACAGCAATATAATATTTTACTTTCCCTAGATAAAGCATCATTTCTTTTCAATCAGGAAATGTTGCATTTAGATTTGGGGGCCTACTTTATATTAGAATTTCATTTCTAATCAATTTATAAAATACTGTTAATAGATGGTTTAAAAATATCTATGTTTCAGAATAGTTCACCAATTGTTAACTGTTGTTACACTGTTTAGAAAGTTTAGGACTGTGAGGTAGAACCATCTAAAGCTTTATACCGATATTCTCCTAATGTCTTTCTCTGGAGGCAAACCTTCGTGACCACATTTATGCCAAGAAGACACACACTGCTGCCAAGCATTGTGAACTGTACTCTTCTTTTCTTACTAATTTGTGCAATTTATTAACCATCTTAGATTTGTTTAAGTTTGACATATCTGATGTCCACAACATGCTGTCTTTTGATACCTTGCTTTCACTTTTATATATCTTCACAACGTATAGCTCAAGACATTTTGAGCTAGAATTTGTGTTGCAGAAGGAAGACAGACTTTGCAGATTCAAGCATTATTCAAAAGAAGGGGAGGAAACTGTGCTGAAAAAGTTATCTTCTGTATGGCTTTTGCTTTTGGTTGCTTTTTTCACATTAAAATTAAAGGTATTGGATGAGCAATTATTGGAAGTTACTAAAAGGCAGATTCACATGTTAATACAGTTTAATATCTTAAACTGAGCCTGGAACCAAATTTTTGAATAAGATGTGACCAGCTTCAAAGTAAAAAGAGCTTATAAAAAAGCCCACCTTTGTAAATGTTTCAATTTTTAGTTGTTAAAATGAGGCATTCCTGCACATTGCACCATAAGAGGTCTTATCAGTCGAAGGATTCAACTAAGGCAACTTTAAACTCTGTCCATTGGCTTATATACAAATAGCTGAGTCCATGCACTTTGCTAAACAGGAAAATTTGTTAATCTGTTATGTAACGCAGCGTGGAAAGTATACTGTACTCTTAACTAGGCAACTTAAAACAGTTTTAGCGTCTTGTAATAAAAAAAATGTTTGACGTGCTATATGTCCCCAATATACTGAAAAACTCATTATTCTAGTAATCTGAAGGAGGCCTTAATTTGCCACCCAAAATGTCAGCTATGACTATCCAATCTAAGATGGCCCCCTTTATATATGTGTCTGATGAAAATAAATAAATAAATAAACAAACAAACAAACAAATAACAAGGTCCCATACATCCTATCGACGTTTTTGCTTTAACCAGTCCTGAAGATATTTCTGATTTAGGCTCTGAAAATATGAACTGATTTTTGAATTTTAGAGTTGTCCACTTCATATCTATATATAGAACTCTTACTTAGTAACTACCACCCATCTAATACACTTTGAAGAGGGAAAAGGTTACTAGGTAAGAAACTGTTGCCTTGTTTTCATAATTTCATTGGTGATGTTGATCCTGATTGAATTACCTGCAGATAGGCTAAGCTTCTAATCTTTGTCTTCTGATACTAGTACATAATCTAAGGAAATTGATCATGCAACTTACAAAAATGCCTTATTGAAGCTCTCCTTTGCTTCATTTTAGCTTCATCACACCTCGTTACACCTTAACAATCATCTCCTACCTAGGCAATTTGAAGCATATTCAATCTATTCTCTTTAACATACTGTGCTGATTTTTATTCCTATGCAAAGGATAGCTATAAAAATATCCCAATTCATTTCACCCCATTAGCAGAAATAACACTTATCTGGTTTGAAATGGCAAGTTAGGTAAAAAGTGGGAGAAGGAATTGGCTCTATTAAGTTTCAGTCTACTCACAGTATAATCTACCTTTCTATAGGAAATGTTTGATCCTTTAAATCTCTCCCCTCCATTACAACATACCTTCCAAATTTCAATTGCCTCCCCCAAAAGTATAGCAGGAAACTACACAAAGTATAGCAATAGGCATATATTTCCTGCTCCTGGCCTAACAATGATATGCAAACCATGGTTTTAAATATGGTTTATGTCATAGTGATGAGTAAATTAAGCCACCATGGCTTGTTTAACAATCCTATTAACACAAGCCAAAGGATAGTTTACATGTCTACCCAGCAAACATTGGTACTGATATATATCATACTACGTATCATACCAGGAGCCATGGTGGCGCAGTGGTTAGAATGCAATATTGTAGGCTAACTGTGCTCACTGCCAGGAGTTTGACCCTGATTTGCTCAAGATTGATTCAGCCTTCCATCCTTCCAAGGTTGGTAAAACGAAGATCCAGATTGTTGGTGACAATATGCTCACATTTGTAAAGTGTCAGAGTGCTGCAAAGCACAGTCGAGTGGTATATAAGTGTTAGTGCTAATGCTATATAGATAATATAGTAAACTGGTACTGAATTCTAACAAAGATGATTGTGTGCAAAGAAAATAGAAGCCCTGCCACTTTCATACATCTAGAACATATTTTAATGCCGAAGCTAAGCAGCTGCAAGCCTAGCCAATGCCTAGAATGGAACTCACATATATCTTTTGTCTACTAGCATTGGAAATATTTTTTGATGAAATTTCCCACATGCAACTATTTAAAACAGAGTACTCAAATAGTGATTTTATTTCAAAAAGTTTTCATTGTATCAGAATTTAGTGGTATCTAGTCTAATTGCCAAATTAGCATTTTGTCCACCTGGGCAAGCTCTTTGTTTCAAAATCCTAAAGTTCTAAGTATGTGGTCCTGCTTTGAAAAGTTCAGAATGTTTAGAAAATTCAGAAAACTGAACCAGATCCACAGTGTGTTGAGAACACACTTATTTCAATAGAATTTTAAATTTTATTGCATTTTCACAAATGCCAGTTTCTTTTTGTGAAGAAAAAAAAAAGAGTTGGCCACTATTGTATGCAGGAATACCAGATCCCTTTATCAGACAAGACAATATTTTTTCTAAAACTTGGTGACTAGAGAGAAAACTTTTGATTCCCTGATATCTGATGGCTCTTTCATGTGACTGAATCACAATGAGCATGTCATGCTAACTTAAAAGTACCTAGGCAATTTGAATTTTATTATTATTTTGAATTTTATTATATTTATACCCCGCCCTTCTCCCGGAGGACTCAGGGCGGCTTACAGCCAGTTTAAAAACAACTTAATACAATACAACATACAAAATTTAAGAAAATGATTAAAAATAAATATTTAAATAGGCCGCTTCTACTAAAATTTAGTTAAAACCAATTTAAAATACCCCTAGGCCAGTCCTGCCCGCTNGGCCGCATTCTGGACTAACTGGAGCCTCCGAGTGCTCCTCAAGGGAAGCCCCATGTAGAGAGCATTACAGTGGTCCAGGCGGGAGGTGACAAGAGCATGGGTGACTGTGCGCAAGGCAATGAGGATTTGATTTGGCCCCAAACAGGCCAGGCTAACATCCATGCCATTCATTATACTTCCTGAAACTGCCCTTTCCTATATTCATGATCAAGACTAATTTCTAGAAGAGGACCCACAAAAACTGACCCTTGTAGCCACTTCATCTTGGTCTTCATTTTATTGTTC